AGTTAGGAGAAGCTCTACGGTTAAAAGCTGGAGATCGAGAACGGAAAGGAAATCTAGGGCTGCGCGATCTTAGAAAACGTGATGTGAACCTACCTGTTTGCTGACGTTGTCGCCTCCTTGACGGGCATTCAGGAATAGTGTGTCCTCGACCGCCACAGTTATAGCAGAAAATACCATTCGCCATGTTGTCCTGAGGCCTTTGTTCCCTAGGTTCCTGAAATCGCACACGATTAGCAATTGGTCTTACTCTACCTGGATAGCTTTCCCTGCTGTAAGGGCTTCTAGAGCGAAAGGGGTTGGGAGGACGCTGGTTACGATTAACAGTAGAATTATCAAATGAAGAACGGGTGAAAGGCTTAATGGAACTCACGGTCACTGGTTGAGACACCTGGGACGGGTGAATAAGTCGATCCCTAGAAGCTTCAGCCAATAGGTCCTCGACTCGTTCGGCTTCGGCCACTGCTTCCTCAAAAGATGACGGGTTAGCATACTTAACGTGAAAACGTAAGTCAGAATTCAAACGTTGCAAGAATTCTTGAAGAAACACTTCATCATTAAGAGAAGGGTCCTTACCTGTTGCAGTACGTAGTAAGTTAAGAAGACGAAAGGCAAAAGCAGAAATGGACTCACCCGCAGCCTGTCTGCACGACGACAACTCTTGTCTGGCATCCGCCATCTGCTTGGGCCCTTCGTAGTGCTTGCGCAATAGGGCCACAATTGCGCCATAGTCGAGCTTATCCTCCGAGGATAGGGTTTCAACACGTTCCCTGGCAACAGACTCTAAATGCGCAACTAAATAGTTAGCCCTATCCTCCGCTGTAACAATCTTGCGTAAGCGCATAGAGTCCTCTAGGCGGCGCAACCACAATGAAAAGGATTGAGAATTAGAAGTACCCGAAAATGGGACGATTCTGGACGAGAGCCCATCAGGGCAGCAAGTTGCAACCAACGGGAATTGCTCCATACGAGAACCCACTACCGCAAAAGACTGGTTAATCCCCTCTAAGAGATCCGAATTACCTTGGTTCAGCTTCTCCGCCAGTTGTGCGGTAGTCTTCTTAGCGTCCCGCCAGGCGTTGACCAAAGCATCTGTCGTGGCACTCTTCAATTCCTTGGCGTCACGTCCATGAACCACGACCGAGTCCTCAAGGGTCGCCAACGCCGACGTCAAAGGCGCCGTGATAGCCTCAAGCGCCCCAGGGGGGCTCGAGGTATCCGACGCGGGCTGCTCCACCTGCCCCTTTGAGCGAGTAATCGGTACCATGAGAGCTAAAACGGGATAAGTCCCAATATCAGGGAAGTTAAGAGACAAGAGTAGAAGTGGAAGCTCAAACCTTGAAGAAAGATGCGAGAGCGAACTGCGAATTCTTCGTCAGTATGAAGACAACTAAGTCCGATGACCTATTATATAGTTGCGCTGCTTATCAAATGTTACATGGGAGCGCCAAGATGTTTTCCTAAGGGGATATCTATGTTTCTGATCAAAGACAGCAATCGTCATGCTAAGGGGAAACTTTCGAATATGCTAAGCATGTGTTATTTCTCTGTTATCTATGTTTTGCATCTATACCGGATGTGAGAGAATGTTAGCTTGCTATTTGATATTTCCCCTACGACTTATCTATGTTTATGATCTGGCTGTGCAAAGCCGTTATCTCTACTTTCTCAAGAGTCGCGCTAGGTTTTTGCTACCAAGAGATACCGTAATACAAGAGAATTCAAACAGTTACTCGCGGCTGAGTGCAAAATGCGAAAATACGATTCGGAGCGCAAAGTCCCTAAGAAACAAGCTTGGCTCACAAAGACACAAAGAGCTGATTCAAATAAGCGCAAGCGCAAGTTGAATGAAGTTTTGCATGGCGCAACGAGAAAGTGCTTGAAAGCTTAGCGCGAACATGGAAAACAGTCTCAGAAACAAAGAAGTTCAAGTTATCGGCGCTTGAAAACAGTGAGAGATTGCGAGCGAGAGAGAGCAGACTGCGAGAGAGATACAGTAAGATTAGCTAAGGAGAATAATGATATGAGTGAAATACCCAGCTGTAAGTAGTATACGAAATCACTAAATGAATTCGGAATTATGTTAAAAGAAAAGATCTCCAAAAGATATCTCAATAGTAATTTACTAGTCAGGCGCGATACACGCGCACGCTCAAACAGTCTACACCACGAGAGAATTCAACCAAAAGTATGAGGAAAAGCTAATGTGAGAGAAAATTCAAGTTGTAGGAGGATATGATTGCAATAGGCATTTATAAAAACGTACCTGATTTCCTAGCTGCTTGCATAGCGTAGTGGAGTAGACTGGAGCCGACCGCTAGCTAGACGGCCATCTGGGGAGAATGCGGCCAGAACTCTGCGCGCTAATCTGGAAAGGGCCGCCATATGTGACTTACATAGTAAGCGAATGATCGATCAACACCTTTGAGTTATATCACCTCAATGCTCGAGCTCACCTTACACCCTCAAGCGGATGTCACCTCGTGAACTACCCCGAGGCAACTCTACTGGACTCTAACACCTCATAATTCCCAGCCGCCGGCAACACTAATATCAATTCAACATGGGCGAACGCCTAGCCAAAACACAAGTTAGCCAAAACACAAGTCCATTAATCCGCGAGGAAACACAAACTCAACCCGGGGAGAACACAGAATACCTTCCTGATAATACGCTGGGCACAACACAATAACCAACACTCATTTCCTTGGCGTTCTATTACCACTAGGTCCGGACAAATCACCACCAGGTGTACGTACACTATTCTAAGTTATCAGCAGAGAGCTGCTGATTCCGCGGAAAAAAAGAGCTTGAGAAAAGAAAATCGCATTTTACCATTTTAGTTCAAGAAAAAAAGAGTTAAGCTACCAGAATTTCGCGAGATCTGAGCTCTAGATCAAGGAAAAGGCAACTCAAGAAAGCAAAATTACTACAACTGTCTTTTCTCAAGAAAATTCGCCAAGATACCGACCGGGAACCCACCAGGGCAAAAATACACAAAAAAAACTACCAAACAAAACGAAAACTTATTTTCCCTCCGTGGCGGTGGAACCTTTCACTGCTGACCCGAAGCGATATCGCTCGCTTAGCTCACGGCCTTCGGAGCAAACAAGATGGCCAGTCCTATTTGTTCGTTAAGGTCGGATAAGAAAAAACTTACGGATGTTCACAGCGAATCGGAACCACCAGGCCAAAACTACAAAAAAAGACTTCTTCCCTCCGTGGCGGTGGAACCACTCGCTGCTACCAGTAAGCGTAGCGGCAGTGGAGGCGTGCTCCTGGCTGGCAAGAACAGAACACCGATCAGTACTTAGTAGTTTATCGTTAAGGCATCAAAGTGGACAGAGGACAGTATATGAATATGCGAGAATAGGAGATCATCGGTGAAGTAGTTGAGCTTGGAGATTGGATAGGTACTGGATCGGAACAGCATCAGCCGGAGACGAGGAGGGGTACAGTAGGACGGCCGGTCGGTGTCGGGGCGAAGGAGCGACTCCTCGAGGCTTCGTATCGTCGGTCACGCCCTAAACATATGAATCATGGCTTCTGGCATTCCATCGGAGATGCAAACGGAGATGCAAAAGCATCTCCCTTACAGTATGTGTAAACATTTTTTCCATAAAAGCATTACATTATTCTGGTGTTTCCTATTCTGGGTATAGAAAGTAGTCCCAGCATTGTACGAACGGCCGAGAAATCCAGGATCTGAGGCAGAATGTGATGGCGTCTGCGATCTCACATGTAAGTGAACGCCAGTGTGTGTGTGCAAATATTAGATGTAACGTTTTATACCACAAAATGCGAAAGCATGTTTTGCTCTGTATGAGTTTATCACATTTTAAAAAAGGCACCACAAAAAAAGTGCATGCATTTCGTCCTGATCTTTGCGAGCGTTTCAACATGAGTACAACAGTCCACATACAGTCGCTTCATTTCATATAATCATGTGTGTCATTGCACACACAGTTCACCTTTGGCGTCCCCATCCTGGATTCGTGGGAGAAACAAGCCTTCAGGCAAGTGTTCTCGATGTGTTCTTGACATTTTCTTTTCTTTTCAGGCACTAGTCACCTCAAATTGATGTAATAGATAACAATCGGTAAGTCTCTTGCGTTTCCGCGATTGCAAATCCAGGATGAGGACGCCAAAGTGGACTGTGTGTGCAATGGCACACATGATCATATGAAATGAAGCGACTGTACCAGTCCACAGTCCATGTACTCTCCGTAACATTGGGTGTGGCGAGTTGGGTCTGTGGGTGGAGCCCTGGGCTCTGCATCTCTCGCGAACGTGCTCTCTAATTATTCCTCAGGCTTAGTTAACGACCGAATCGCACTCCACCTGCCACTCCCAGTGAAACAGAGGGTATATCTTTTGAAGATGATTGTGTCATTTCTAGCTCGCTTTACTTTTAATCTCCCCAATTTTTTTTTTCTGTCTTGACAGTGCACAAATTCAAAAAAAAAACTCAGAAAGATCTTTTAGGTAACCCCACTTAGCTTCGGCCAAGCGGTCGCCTTGCGACCTTATCTCCGCATCACCCAAAAACGTCAAAGAAATGAAGAACTTTACGAAGGACTTGTTTAATGCAAGACTTATGAGATGTAAAGTTGGACTTGAGAAAATCTCAACATGAATCTATATCTAAACGAATCAAGCTAAGTCGTCGGAAGAAGGGGCGTAAGGAGCAGTTATCCAGGAGAGGACGACTTTGGATATCCTTCCTTACTGGCTCAAACAACCAATCAAAGTGCGCTCATCAGACGCGGACGAGTTGATTGGTTGCTTGCGCCACGCCCAGAGCAATCTTGACATTAAAAAAATCCGATTTTTGACATTCTCAACTGCTGCTGGCACAGTTTTCTACCCAGCACAATTTCGAAGAGCGCAAGACAGATGAACCCGATGTTGGGAAAACTGCCAAGCCATTGCTTTCATTGCGTAATCCTCTATTTTGAACGTTTGGACTCGAATTCGAAGCTTCTATTTACTCTAGTGGAACGTCACTTTTTCTTCAGATTCGTATTCTTCGCTCGTAGTTTTCGAATTTCTTTCTTCGATGTGATGCAATGTGAAGACTCATATCGACGCTGCGTCGTATCGGACTGCAATTTGAAAAGATTGTTCGTAGCCGTAAACTTTTTTCTAGGCGTGAGAAAAACTTCTACTTCTACATTTGGACCAGTTTCTCATGGCCACCGAAGCATTACCTTTGCAATAACAATATTCCATTCTTGGATCGTAAAATTGTCCCAACACCCCTCCCATCCTCTCGCCTTCATTAGTATTCGAGACACTGCTGCCACAGCGGCTGTTATGATGTTGTCCTCGGCAAAGAGTAGTGTCGATACGGACCCATTCATCTACTTTACGCTTCGTTATTAATCGACTTGGGTGTTCACGCTTTTTCGTAAAGTTCATCACGTTGATTCACTGATTTCTTAAGCCCATCTTAGTCCGTTCTATTTCAGATTATGGATAGCCACGACGTAGATCGGTTTCGTGGCCTTGACATGAGCCATGGTTTCATAAAATCAATTGTAAAGAATCAGATTGATAGGTAAGTGTTAAGTGTTTTAAACATTGCTTTGCTGACTCCCAAAGTAAACATATTTGCAGAGATGAATATCATAAAGTAATGGAGGAACGAAAGATTGAGGTGCAAAAGAAGATCAGAGAAAGTGAGTTTTGTCCTCACTTTGGTTTATTTTTAGCATTGTTGCAACCTCTCCTAATTTTTTAAAAGTTGTTTTGTAAGGTCGAAGAAAAAAGCCAGCACCAGCCGCAGAGTATAAGCTTTATGTTCCTCCCCATTTGCGAGGCAAAAACGATTCGACCGAAATTCAGAGAGTTGCACCCGATAGAGTACGTAATCTTCTGTCTGGTGTTTCTTTCTGATCATCGCATTTTCTAAATTTGCAGAGGAATCCATGTCCGGCGATTGTAAGCGAAATAGAAGAAGAAACGTTACGAGAAAAGGTGACACTTCGGTATTATCTACTAGTTTTGATTCAATATATGATCTGTTGCTTTTTGTTTTCTATTTATTAGCTCATATTCATACCTGCAAAGAGTAAGACGAAAGTTTGATGTCTTCATCGTTCTCAGTCTATATCTACTATCCAGTAATCTAGGTTCGCACTCGATTTCAAGCTCGCTCTGATGGACCTAATCTAGAAGCATTAGGTAGGTCATTTTGGTGCTTGATTTTCCTTTTTCGGCTCTGCTCTTTCTCGTGATTGAGCTTTGGGGTTCACAATTTGATTTCATTAGCGATGTACGGTCGAATTATGGTATTAGATGAAGAGATAAGTCGAGACGAAATCGTTTTTCAAAAACCTTGTTCTTCTAATAGATGTTGTGAAACACTTAGACTGGGGAAGATTGGTTGCAAATATGTGTGTTTCATATTCTAAAAAGGATTAGTTGGTTTTGAAACAGGGTTTTGATAAGCTTTACTAGTAGAACTTCAGGAAAAAATGCTACACCTGTACCTACACCTTCAAGACCAGTATTTTTGCTTAATCTGAAGAAGAACACGGGAGACACAGTTGACATTGCAGTGATGAACGTTAGTTACTTTAGACTTTCATCAAAGATTTCTTTTTTTTACATGTTTTTATATCTTTAGACTGATAATGCCGCTAGATTAGCAAAAGAACTAGGTAGAAAACATGGTTTCACTGAAGATCAATGTAGGATGCTCCGTCTCACTCTTGAGAGGGAACTTGAGGCTAGACTTGCTCCCTAGTCTACCTTCATTTACGTCACTTTTGCCTGTCTAGTTGTAATTGATCAAATACAACTGCCAAGTAACAGCTTTACTTTTGGGTAGTCAACGTGGTTACTTGTCATAGTGCAAAGTGCATTAACATGGTCTGTGATATGTTGAGATTTTGTCATCATGTATCCTCAAACCCTCGTTGTCATAATACTTTCTTTTTCGCTTTGGACTTTTGAATTTTACTGTTTGGTTTGTGCTTATTATGCCTCGCCTTCCATTTTCTTGTCGAACGAAAGTGATGATACTAGTTATAGAACTGCCTGATTCGATTTATTTTTCGCTGTTGTGTATGGTTAGCGTGAGTTGTGTTTTATTCAGTGCCAAACTCTTTTCACCCGTGCTCTACTTTTTGGTACTTTGCATGCTTGTAAGCATCTTCGCACTTCTTATTGGGTTTTTACTTTGCCTCACCTTTCATTTTTTGCTGTCGAACGTCTTTTACCACGACAAAATAACCTCATCAAGGTCATCTCAATTATGATTTAATTCGACTTCTCGTTTGTCAGCTAATACGAATCAAATTTTATTCACCTCTACTCACATTAATCAACGAGATTATGCGTGTTTACTGTTGTTTTGTGTATATTCAGGGACTCAACCACCGAGGTTAGCATAGTATCTTACGCATTATACATCTGAATAAATATTTAATCTAGCTTTAGTTCAACTCAAAAGGCGTTTGTAATCATTCAGTACTTGCGAGTTGGAATAACCGGTGTTTTTTATGTGAAAGCCCTCTTCTATGGATTGCTTGCCATAAATGGCATAAAATTATACTGCAAAATATCCCTTTGCTCGGTTCTCAGACCAAGGAAGAAAGCAAATACACATCTAGTTTTCGCCAACGGAACAAACATGTGGCTTGTCGTGTGTTCATACTGTTATGACCCGGTCGCGCAACGCGCCAAACAAAACGCCTGCACGTTCACCAGACTTTACAATTCAAAGAGACGCCGCTAAAGTTTACGCAAGATAAGAGGAGATACTCAAGTGGTTGCAATCATTTCTGCGCGCAGTAAACTAAACCCATGCATTCTCTGTTCTTTCCGCCTGTCGATACGTACTTTGGACGGTTTGCACTGGATTTGCTTGCGGCCAGTACTGTTATATTTGTGGTCCCATCAATTCTACTCTTGAGCAGATTAGATGCCGAGGGCAATGCATTTTTCACGGTTGTGCTGATTTTTTCTAAATGTCGAGCGATTTTCTCCGCTGTCTCAGCGGGGAAATTGCTCATAAGATGTAGGAAAATAAGCGGCTGGACGAATGTCCAGCAAAATGGAGGCTTGCCAGATTTGGTGGTGTTAAGCAGTACCTCCCCATACAACGTAACCTCTAACCCACCTTCTAGTTCAGGCGCTATGTACAAACACTCTAAAATCCCCCTAGTCACGCCCACTTCCGTTGAGTAGGCGTGGCTAATGGGCTTTCAAAGCAAATTCAAAATTTAGCACATGGATTGCAGGCGGGAATTGAAAGGAGTGTCAATGCGATCTTGAGATTTTGTACTCAATCAGGCCTGTTCTTTATGCTGAATCCGAAAACCAACGCTGGAAAGCACGGAAACGGCGAAAAGGGCTGTAACGCAGGAGAGAAATCAGCAGGGAGCGGCGTCCTCTCCTGTGAATTCACGCTCCCAGCTTCCAGAGCGATCTTCCGATTTTACCAAGCGTGAGCACTTGGCTGGTGGCGATGTCAGGGCGGCCAACGGAATCAAATGATCGCTCCGGAAGCTTTGAGCGTGAATTTACAATAGGAAAGACCCCGCTCACTTGCTGATTTCCCTCCTGCGTTAGAACCCTCTTCGCCGTTCTCGCGCTTGCCAGAGTGGATTTTCGAACACAGCGTAGCGAATATGCCCGGGTGAGCACAAAATCTCAAATTCATCTTTTGCCGGACATTGCCTTTAAGATACGATGCACTTGAGGGCTGTACCCCCTACGACCACCAAAACTGATACGTGTCCATTCTTTTGAGCTATTGCCTTCTTGTTAACAGATGTGTGGAAGCTTGTAAGTGGAAAGGCGTAAGAACTGTCTTTTTTAGCAATTAGATTCGATGCTCAAACCGCGACTGATCGTCCAAGCGTTATGTCAGAGTGTTTCGACAGCATCTACGTCCATTTCAAAAAGGCCTTTGCTTCCAAAAAAGCAAAAGTCACTGGGAGAGGTGAAGGTTGGACAAGTGATTGACTAATTCACTATTGATGACCTTGCAGGCTGGTACATTCGTTGACTATCGTCGCGTCAAATGTATTGCTGGTAGTGGAGGCGATGGCATGGTGTCTTTCTTCAGGTATGTCCGCATTTCTGCATTTTTATGATGTTGTTGACTGGTACAGGTTGCACGAAATCTGAGAAGGACCTGCTCCGTACTTTGTACACTTTTTCAAAGAGCGAACTTTCACAGTCTCTTTCTCAGGGGTTACCGTAATCCATTTGGCGGACCTGATGGCGGTGATGGAGGGAACGGTGGCCACGTCTTGTTCAAAGGTGAGGTTTTCTTGGCGCGAAAATACACTCAAAAAATCACTTTTAGACTTTTTTTTGTACAATATAATTCCTTTTATCCTTAGAAATAGCATTCTGCACTTTTGACTGCTATTCAGCTTCTACGAGATTCAAAGATTTATCGCATTTACGATCAGTAGAACGAGCAGAACGTGGTAAATTTGGAGGATCAAAATCATGCCATGGAAAATCTGCGCCACACTTAGAAGTAGGGACAAAATCTCCGAAGTCTTCAAAACCACACGAAACTATCTTCCATTTAGATACCCGTACCTGTCGGGACGCTCTTCAAAAACGAAGGAAGAGTTGTGTATGAGCTAGCGAAAGAAGGTGAGGTAAGAATAATCCAGTTAAGATTTTTGTATTTCAAGGGTTCATTAGGCTATAGGTCTTCCTTGGGGCTCGAGGAGGCGCTGGTGGGCATGGTAATCAATTCTATGTTTCAAATGAGATTAGAAAGCCGTTCAAAGCGGAAGTTGGCGGTCGCGGCGAAGAAGTCAGTGTTTCTATTTCTGCAGTCCTGCAGTTGAGAACGAAGCGAAATTAAGATAGTTTACGATGTCGAGATGCGGGTAATGGCCACAGCGGGGTTGATAGGATTCCCCAATGCTGGTAAATCGTGAGTTCTGTTTTCGAGAATCCCACTCAAAAAAACGCGATTTTTTGGATCTCTGCTTCGAGCAATCTCACGGGCAAATCCAAAGGTAGCTTCTTATCCATTTACTACGCTGAAACCTCATGTTGGAATGGTTCTGTACGAAGACTATGAACAAATAGCAGGTATTTTGCTGATTAAAACACTTCAAATCTTGGTTTTGAGTGAACACTTCAGTGGCTGATATCCCCGGACTTATTGAAGGAGCGCATGAGGATCGAGGACTTGGCGTCTCCTTTTTGAAGCATATCGAAAGATGCAGGTCTTAAGTCACAGTTCGTTCAATGTAAATACTCAACCACAATTTCAGGTGCCTGTTCTTTGTGCTTGACGTGACGCTCGGTGATTTTCGAGAACAATTTGATTTACTGAGAGTAGAATTAGAAGAGTACAAAGAGGGACTGTCGTCTCGACCAACAGCCATAGTATTCAATAAGATTGATCTTGATCCTTCGGTAACTAGATTTTTGCTACATTTTCATGATCTTAATAAAATAATACATAGAATTTCAGCAGGATAACAACAAAAACCGGATTCTTTTCCAAGAATACCCAACATTTTTCGTGTCAGCAAAAGCTGGTACAGGCCTTGAGGAACTGCTCATCTACTTGAGAGAAGAGTACGATAAAGCTTTAGATATTGGCAAATAAATTCTCGTAAACAATAACAAAATTTACATGTTCAACAGTTCAAAGGGAAACAAGTGACTACAGTAAGCATGCATAATAATTATTACAACTTGCCGAAAGTGGAAAGCACGCAGGATGTGAGTGCTACACGCATAGTTAACCCTTGATGACCGCTATCGGTCGCAATTTCACGGTTTTCTTGCTAATGCCCGCAGTATCACATGTGTTGACAACATCGGTCACATCTTTGTATGACTCCGGGGCCTAAAATTGTGTCAATTTTTCAAAAGTTGGGTTTGTTAGCTAAACAGACCTCTTCCATAATAAGTTTCGGCGACGCCAGTCGAATTGATATGCCTTTCGTCTTCAAGTTTTCGATAACTTCGGTCCAAGGAATTTTTTGTCTCGATTTTGATCGAGAAAGTGCTCGTCCCTGAACGAAAACTTTTGGTTTTTCTTCATTGATTAGATAATATATCTTACGGCTCCATGGCATGTTGTGCCGTAAGTTTCTACCATGCCGCGATCTGTGCCTGTGAGTACATAGCTGCAGGTACCCATACTACCACCGATCAAAACCGGCTGCCCTAAATGAATCGGATCGAGGCAATAAGTCCCATTCGAAAACCATTTAGTATACCTGTCAGTTGGTAGTCGACAGGAATAAGAGGATGATGTGGTGGAAACGCACGCGTTGCTCCTTTTCGGTGAACGCAGAGCTGCGTAGGTCGGCCATCAATCAGATGTTCCTCCATTTTTGCAACATTATGAGATGTGTCATAAATCATCTGAAAAGTGCCATGGAAAACAGCGGAAGAGATTTGTCTCTATTTTTACGACAACAGTCGCGCACAGCTTTGTTTCAGCTAAGTTCGTGTGACGTAGTGCACACATTCCCTCAAGCACTGAATGCCGCCATACCAAAGGCGATCCGAGAATTTTCGTCCGAGAGAGGAAGAGGGAAAGCGCGACAGAAATTTTTTCCAATGCAGAGCGTGGCGTTATTTGCTTCTAAAGAAAATTTCAAGATGCTTTTTGGCTTTTTGGATTACCTGCGGTCCAAAAAAAAGGCTGAGGGTAGCGACAATCACGCCTCCCAAAAATTTTATTAAGTTGATTTGAGTTTTAAAAGAATTTTAAACGCTGCTCACTGGCCATGTGCAAGACAGGTGCACGATTAATCCATGTTTCAATAAGATTATTATAAAGAAAAGACCACAAGAAAAAGAGAAAGAACTTTCGAAGTCATATATTACAAACCTGCATATCCAGATCATCGGGTTGCATGTTAAATGTATTCGCAAATGCCTGTCGCACACAAAAAGTCATACATGATCGGTTGACCCAAGCAAAATTAGCGGCAGCCGCCATTCCTTTGAGGTAATCCTGGCCTATAAAACATGAAAATCAAGCGATGAAGCCATTTTCTAAAAGTTCATCGGGTCACACCTTCATTGGAATAAAGTCTAGCACAGGCTAACTGTCTGTCATTGACAGAGATGCCATCACGAGCCATTGCTTTCTCCATTTCTACTAGAGCATCTGTTGCCACTTGATGGCCAAGTCCACGACTACCACAATGCAGCATCACCACAACTTGGCCTAGAAGGCACTTCTGCTGATTTTTTCTTACCAAGTCCCAGCTGAATCTTACCCTTCTCTGCGATGCCCATTTTCGCCGCTGCATGCTTGTCATAAATCTCATCAATGACCTGTACCTCGGCATAATGATTTCCCGCGCCAAGAGTTCCCAACTGTAAAGTCCGAAGTAGTTTCTCACTACAATGCCAGAGAACTCACCTGTGGAAGTCCTCGTTTCTTAGCGCGAGTTGACACTTTTGTTGCGTCTGCCTGCAACATTCGACCATACTCCTCACAGTGCTCTTTGTCTTCTGCCCATGAGTAACCTTCACGTAAGGTCCAATCCATACCCATTTCTAAGCAGCTGAAAGGTGTAACAGAGAAGAGTAATCAACAAAGCAACGTAAAAAAGGTAACATACTCAACAAGATCAGCCGCTGACATGGGAATTGCACCGCGAGATCCGACACCAACAGGGATATAATCAAAAAGTGCTTGGGTCAGTTGTTCCTATAAATGTTAAGAAAAAATTTGGATAGCGGTAAGTAATATAAGATTAGGATGAAATAAATACAAATAGAACCGCTCACTTTAACAGGCGCTACGTCCTTCTCGTAGAGGTTTGTCCTAATCAGCCTCACCCCGCAGTTTATATCAAAACCCACACCTCCTGCAACATGTTTGTAAAAAAGCTAAAAAAAATCGATTCTATCAATTCCATTCGACATACAGTGACCGCCAAAAAGTTGCGGACAAGCCTCCCTCCCTTTTTCATCGCTCTTTTTCAGAAGGAAAACAAGGATAAAAAAATGTGGTGATTGTATGAGGTGATAGAGCTCTTCAAGATCTACAATCTACGCTTTGCGTTTTTCAAAAACGTGTATTTTTAAAAAGCTTTTTCTAAGAAAAGTCCGAAAATGGCCGCGTCACAATGTCGCGGACAATAATTCTTCAAACGCAAAAATTTTCTTTTGAGTCCCATTCTGAAGCTGAAACACAAGTAATCCAAACGGGTAAGCATACTACTATACAGAGCTCGTCAAGAACTACACACTGGTTATGGTTGCTTCCCAAAAAACACAAGCTTGAGTTTTATTTTTTTTTCAAAAATAACTTCTAATTCTCCTTTTTAAGCCAAGTTTCTTCACATGGAAACCTATTCACGACATTCCAACAACGATGTTCGGATAAAGCAGATGCTCTTTACCATTCTCCATGCATCTGACGTGTGCTGATGAGTATCTTTGCTGAGAATGGCTCTTGGCAGTGCTTGCACATGACCCCACCTGCACCTCACCACTAACTAGTACCGGGTTGCAGGCTTGTAACTCGGCTTGTAGTCAATGTGTGAGCCTGCAATTAGGCTCATTCGAAAGAACGAGACTTCCCCTACACGATGGTATGCAAAAGAGATGGGTATAAGAAACAGCGGAGATTTGGCGGATGGGGTGGAAAAACGCGGCCTCAGTGGTAGGGTGAGGATATCCAGCTAAAGTTGAATAGAGCTTCTTTCGCTACCAGTTCAATCCTGGAAGCTTGAAACTGTCAATGTTCTTGTAATAGATCCATTTTGAATCTCTAGAACTGTTTTGGTGTTGATAAGAGCCTTCACTCCAACCACCACTGAGGCCGCGTTTTTCCACCCCATCCGCCAAATCTCCGCTGTTTCTTATACCCATTTTACAAACCATCGTGTAGAGGAAGTCTCGTTCTTTCGAATGAGCCTAATTGCAGGCTCACATATTGACTACAAGCCGAGTTACAAGCCTGCAAAGCGGTACAAGTCAGTGGTGAGGTGCAGGTGGGGTCATGTGCAAGCACTGCCAAGAGCCATTTTCAGCAAAGAAACTCATCAGCACACGTCAGATGCATGGAGAATGGTAAAGAGCATCTGCTTTATCCGAACAGCGTTGTTGGAATGTCGTGCATTGGTTTCCATGTGAAGAAACTTGGCTTAAAAAGGAGAATTAGAAGTTATTTTTGAAAAAAAAACAAAATAAAACTCAGGCTTGTGTTTTTTGGGAAGCAACCATAACCAGTGTGTAGTTCTTGACGAGCTCTGTATAGTAGTGTGCTTACCCGTTTGCATTACTTGTGTCTGAGTTTCAGAATAGGACTCAAAAGAAAATTTTTGCGTTCGAAGAATTATTGTCCGCGACATTGTGACGCGGCCATTTTCGGACTTTTTTTAGAAAAAGTTTTTTTAAAATTTTTAGAATACATGTTTTTCAAAAAAAGCAAAGTGTAGATTGTAGATCTTGAAGAGCTCTCTCACCTCATTCAATCACTACATTTTTTCATCCTTGTTTTCCTTCTGAAAAAGAGCGATGAAAAAGGGAGGGAGGCTTGTCCGCAACTTTTTGGCGGTCACTGTATAAGCAATTATAGTGGCACAATTTTTTGTATTTTCTTATATTTCAAGAAAGAAAATCAAATTCTGCAATGTTGTATGACAAAAAGGAGAATATAACGCGCAAATATGAGAACGCACCAGGTGAGATGACCGACTCTTTTTTCGAGCAGTCAAAGGCGGCAATATTCCCTATGGAAAATCCGTAGCCTGAGTGGATGTCTGGAAGGCCAATGGAAAAACCAACTATCCCTGGCAAAGCTGCGACATTGCCCAACTGTCTTACAGCGGGCAAAAAGCCACCGACACCTGAAGAAAAAACAGATATATGTAGGTAGTTCACACTCCAGAAAACATTTGAGAGTTTGGACGAAAATTTGAACAATTCCTACCTCGTCCGATAGAGTTACGCAACTCTTCAAACATAAGCGGCTCCAACTTCTTATTTACGTAGAAACGTGCTTCTACCTAGATAAAATTTTTCTTTCAGGTTCTCAGTACCAAATGAATATAAAGTCTCAGACTAACATTCATGTTCGGACAGAAGCCTTTCTTGATTTTGAACTTGCATTCTCCTACCCGTTCTATGAACGCACATTCTTCCTCGAATGTGCGAGGCATCCTAAAATGGTTATACTCGCTTCCATAAAGGTGAAAATATGATGCGACCATCGACAAGAAAATCTATTACCGGTACTCGTAAGAATCCGCGATACGAGATAAAATGGGTCTGATGAAAAAATACAGAATTATATGAGGCAGGGGGCAAGGGCCAGGAGTGCCGAAAACAAGGAAAAAAAGTTGAAATAGAAGGAAGTGCCCAAACAATTTCCTCAAAAGGATCCCTTCCAAAGGCTCCATTCGCTTTCGAGATGGTGTGAAGTTGTGCAATATAGAGTAGATGAACACTAATTAGATCGATACCCCCCCCCCCCTCCCATTTACTTTCACTTGTTGCTACAACAAAAATACGGTTACCTTATCTTCGCAAGGGGCAGAATTCCCATGCGAAGCCAATTGGTGACCTTGGATTATTAACGTGCAACTATGACCGCATAAATAAAAAAACCTTGTTATTCCTGACTTTTGCGCTCAAACTGCCATCATAGCTCGCCTGGGGGCCGGCTAAAAACCGGGACAAAAGTGGCAAAAGCCAATACGTGACAGTCCTTACGGCAAGCTCTTGTAACATAACTTATGAACTCTATTATAGGGTATGCTTACGTTTGGCTATGCCTGTTCGGCCTTCTTTCTCTCAGTAATAAGTAGCTAATGTGAGGAATTTTTCCGTTACATGGACCCTAGTTCACATGCAGTATCAATTCTGTGACTCTGTGATAAGAGGCTCGAAACCGCTTTGCACACATTGTAAAAAAAGCTGGATCGTGTGCTTAACAAGTTAATACCTGTCATCCGACTGATCTAAAATATTTGCTACTTAAAAACAAGGAAGAAAAGTTCACGCGTGTTTGGAAAACGTGTGCAAGAATGTTCGAGTATCTTAGTCACAGAATGCATACGATTGAAATATGTACCTACAAGCCACAAAAAAACTTTCCGTAAACGTCTGTTTCCATGCCACTTGTAGAGATGAAAATCAAAACGACTTGGTTTGATATGCTTTTCTTGAATCATTTCCGGTGAGATACAAAAGCATCTGAGATGACTCAAAAGTTGTTCAGCTGTTTACGACGACAGAACAGTCCAAAATCCCTATTAGAGCATCTTGATCGCTTTCAGCAACGACTCAAGAATATTTTATGCTATTCAAATGGCTCACTTCGCAAAAATGATGGAAACTTAGGCACCCACCATACTTGATCCTCTTAATCCACTTGATCCGCTTCGCCATTGCTCAATTCAGTGAACTGACCAATAGCGAAGCTGTATGGCAGCTTCGTGCAAAACGCGCGCACATAGCAGTTTGTAGTCTGGCACCTCGTAGTTAAAGAGAAATTTTGTACGGCCACGCAAATTCGCTGTACGCGACGCCAAATAACAAATTAGTAACGTGCGTTTTGCCGAAGCGGATCAAGATCAAGAGGACCAGGTATGATAGGTGCCAGAGTAAGCGAATATTTTGTTCAGGTTGGGGTCCCGCGCAGAATTGACGTCTCTCACGATGCTGGCGTCAATCCAAATGACGTTAATTCTGCGCGGGACCCCAACCTGAACAAAATATTCGCTTACTCTGGCACCTACCTATGGCGGGTGCCTCAGTCTTGCCAAATGGCATACTTCTCTGTTTTGCACGAATCTGATGTTTTCATTGAAAAGGATGGCATCAAAATGTCAGCGTTCATTCTTGGAATGGATTTAGGATGGAATCATCATTGATTAGAAGATAGAAAATATATTGGATAGACATCACAAAGTTTTGGTAAAACCTCTGAAACAAGTGAATGACATGAAAATATTTTTGAGACGTGACTGGGAGATCGCCATTCTTTTGTGAAATTGAGACTAGATATGGTGTAAGGAAAGAAGCATCATCTAGAAAAATGGATGACCATAACGGAAGAGTACCGTTATGAAGGCCTGACTTTCTCACGAGTAGAACGTTGTTTCGAAACAAATTCGGCGTTTGCTTTAAATTCCATGGGGAATCGCAAGGATCTCAAGAGCTTTCGATGACTTATACTATTGCGATGTTAGCCGAAAATTCGAAAGTCGCTTCTTGATGCTATTTTTCATATTTCTTCACATTCTGCAGTTGACGAAGCAAAAAATATTTTCGTTGTAAAGCGCTAGCGAAAGATTTGAAACCTACTACATTGACTACTACTAATGCATAACTCGTAGCCACTTTTGACCCCCACCCCCAATGTACGAAATGAGCTCACGACTAGTCGATGCATTCTTGTCGTCAAACTCGAGTGTGTGAATGCACAACGTTTTGAAATCTCAAATACGTCACACCAATAGAAAGCTTGGTCGGCAGTGGTAACCAACTCTTCGTCAGTATATTTTTATGTAGAAAAAATTTGTGCAAAAACTGCTTAAGACCTGTTAAGTAGTGAAATGACCACAATACAGTCTCATTTTGAAGCGCATTATTACTGACTGGTGAGTAACACGAGTAACACGAGTAACACTAGTAACACCGGTAACACTGGTAACACGAGAAACATTAGTAACACCGGTAACACGGGTAACACGGGTAAAGTATGGCCAAAGCCATAAGTATTCGTACACTTTTAACGGACAGTAAAGAGGACGGGAATAACGTTTGATAATTTAGCCCAAACACATTTTATTTTTGGCTATTTTTCTTTCTAATAGAGAACAATATCTGGCTTTATGCTTGAGACAAAACCTCTTCACTATAGTCTTAGTCATCATTTTCAAGAAATTTGAGGCAACGGCGGTAAATTGCCGGACCGGTTCACGACGCAAGGTGAGACGCGCTCGCCAATTAGAACGCCGCGTCATTGACACAAGAAGTCGGTAATCATCCTCACTCTCCCCTTCAAAATGCAATATATACTGCATGGTTGTGTGCGAGGTGGTTGAGGCAATTAGACAATTCTCTATCGATACAGCAATTTCAAACCTTCTACCAGTCGTTCGTAAGGTAGGCGCCAGACTAAGCGACTGTTGTGTTCAGCTCAAAAGGCGCACAGAATTAACGTTAATTCTGCGCTCGATTGCCTGCTTCAGCTGCAGGTCCCCCGCAGAATTAACGTTAATTCTCTGCGCCTTTTGGGGTGGGGGAACGAACACCTCAATTAGGCACCACCTCCGCGGACCACTGGTCTCAACACGATGCACAACAGTAGGACGAAAGGACCAGCAGCCCGCGAAGGCGATGCCTAATTGAGGCGTTCGTTCCTCTACCCCGCCTTTTGCAGCTGAACAAAACAGTCGTAGTCTGGCGCCCACCTATAGGTAGGCGATATATACCCTTACAAGGGTTGTTTCATACTGCAGTCGCTGCAGCAACTGCAGCCAAATCGGCGCGGACAAAGATATCGATCGATGACCGCCGTTGCTGCAGCGACTGCAGTATGAAAACTCTAAGGCCTCGGGCATACCTCACGCGATTTCAGTCGCAACGCGATTTGGCAATACTCCAGATGTTCATAACTCATCGTACGGGGTTTCTGAACGTACGGAAGATGGAGCATTTTATCAACCTACGGAAGTTATACATGCTGTGCACTTGGGGTCTAACAGTATTGCATGACATCTGGCAAATTGCAAGATCGCGTGGCGACTAAAATCGCATGAGGTATGCTTCTTGCCTAACACAATATGCGTACTCTGCCCACTCCCGCTACCCCATGACTTCAAGATAAAAACCCGCTTACCAGATAAGGATCTCTGTTTTCTCCCCTCTCTTGGTTTGATTGGATATGTATTTAGTAGTACGCATCTACACACAGCTTATTTCAAAAAAAGCTCTCACCGACGAGTTACTAGTAAGATGTTGTCGAGTGCCGCACATAGCGTGCACGTTCACAGACTGAGCTATAAATGACTCGCGCATTTAGTGTAAAAGTAGTCTCTTGAAATGCTAAATAAAAAAAGGCCTAGTTATCTTCATATCGAACGTGTACAAAGCATTATATGATTCAGTAACATGTCGGCTACTAACCGACGATAGACTTACGATGTAAAAACCCAAATTTATTTTCGAGTCAAAAATCACATACAACATCATATTCCTGCGAAACAAACTGCGCAACAAATATACAAAAAATCATGACATAATTTGAAAAAAAAAACCTTGAACATAGCAAAAGGAAAGCGAATGCAATCGACTAGGATATGTGAAATCAGAGAGGTTTGAAAAGTCCTCGTTGAGGACGTCTGCAGAAGTGATGAAACTATATACATTTTGATTGATGAATTAAAGTTGAACTTCCAAATGGAACACTACGCGAGGAAGCTATAGCTAACAAGCTACCCGAGCACATTAAAGAAGACTTGGAACAGTGGTTCCCGATGATGCCTTCATATCTGCAATCATTACCGGTACGGTGTGATTTCTCAAGGCATGACTGAGAATACGAAAAAAACGAATGAAAAATGAATTACATGATGAAAGCCACAACGATGAAGTAGATGGTAGATAAGTAATGCTATATACATTATATGATTAAAGATCAGGCAACTAGGTTATCACAGTTCAGTAGTTACCCGTTGAGCTGGAGCAAAGCTGGCTTGTCCGGCGGATAGGCGATGGGCAGAAGTGGAAGAAGCTAATTGAGCGGCTGAAACTTTTCTGACAGATGCCGGTGGTGCTTCATCGATAGATATTCGGCTTTCAATGGGTTGACGGCATAGAGGACACTGATCCATTTGAACGGAACATGTGTTACAAATGCCTCTGGAAAGTGTAGAATTAGCGACAACAGGAGGACCTAGATAAAATTATTCAGCCGGTACAAACAAGAACAAGCCCTTTCGTACAAAATGCTATGACTTCGAGGTAAAATTTGTCTATACTTCAAAACTCACCCATGCATACATGGTGTAAGCACCGTGTCACCAGGATGAGCATAACATATTGTGCAGTAATTTTCGGGTATCGGTTCCTTCTGCAGAAGCTCAAGTCGTCTTCGCCTACAAGTAGAGAAAATAGTATACACAATGAAGATTAAATATGAAAAGTCAAAACGCGTGGCTTCCGCGATGGCAATGTCGGCTTAGCAAAGCTCAAAAAGGAACTTGTCCTGTAAAATAAAAAGCAATCAACTTGCCTTGGAAGGATGGTTTTCTGCTCGACAGTAAGTGTCGCTCCACCATCATTGAAAGTACTGTAAAGCAAAACAATAAAACTGAACCAGTTCAAAAAACGACTAAAATTAGTACCTAAAGGCAATATCGGGCGGAAATTTGAAGGGTTCGGCACCAAAGTTGAACCGACACTGTTGGAATGACATGAAAGACGCTGCTGCAAATACTCCATCGCCTGCTGGGCGAGCTCCTGGAACAATATGGAGAAATGTATAGGGGAAAACAAATGGGAACTCTCAAATACTTACGCAAAAATTCGTAGTGAGGTCTTTGCAAAGGTCGGCCATTCAAATAAAACATTACTGTACCCATAGGAATATTCAACAGACATCCAACAACGTCACCTGCACGAAAGGTTGATATGAAGTGATGAAATAGAATCAGAAACTGACGAGGCGGATCAAAAAGTGCTAAAATCAAAGGACATACCCGGACGCCAAGGTTCATGTTCGTGGCGACTAGAATGTGCATTATGCCAAAGAAGCTGGCGGCAACCATCATATGCCACGGATGATTCGTCGTCTCCAATACCATAACCTTCCTAGAAGAGTACAGGTGCAGAATAAAGAAAATGAAGACCAAAATCAGGCAATGCATGAAACATCCAAACTTTTCAAACCAGAAGAACAACTAACATGGTTCAAGAATCGGCTTCTTTTGGTAGCAAATCCTATTTGCATGACACCAGGGGTAAAGACGGTAGCTTCATAGAACCATACTCCATCTTGTACAGCAAATGTACAGCGTACGGATTCGAAAGACGATACATCGCATCGTGCCTGCAGTTGCAGCAGTATTTGATGGGAGGAAAACCGCACTTGTCAAACTCACTTCTAAGCCATCAGGGCCAATTTTGAGGTATTCACTGACATCTTCGTGGTTTAACATGGCGTTGATTTTCGACACATCCGTTATCTCATATGCGTACGTTCGGTTCGGTGTTATGACTGACAAAACAGAAAATAAGAGATGGTAGCAGTCCATGGAATACTCACATATATTATCCAATGCCCATGTCGCGCAGAAACCAACCTGTCGTTTCATAGCATCAGATGTGCAATGGCGCCATTCTTCAAGTTGCTGCAAAAATATATCTAGTATCAGAGTTCTTGCGGAAAATGGCATGGAAGTGCTAATGTATCGAGTATACATGATTCAAAGTTTAACTAGCACGTTTACCGATGGCTAATAATGCCGCTAAGCTGTCTCAACGGGATGAAACAAGTTACTGTTGAGATTGATAATTAGAACCCCGAAACCCCAGAATAAAAGGCTATCCAAAACCAAAGCCCTAACGATAATATATCATAAATAAACTTCTGAATTTACCTTCAGCGGATGAGACACAGCTTCCTCCAAGGTACGAGAGATCAAAAACTGGTTTTCGCTGGTTTGCGCAAACTTTTCCAGTGCCAGCAAGGCAAAGAGCACCACACGGGCTTGCGTAAACGGTGGAACCTGAGTGACTCATTGACAAAAACGACCAAGCAGCTATCAAGTAATTAGACATACTATTCTTGAAATCAGATAGTTCAAAGTGGTGGGATTGCACATAGCTACACTGCTACTGCCAGCTAGCTTTTCAGCCAAAGAACCTTCAAACAAACAAAACGTAACTTCTGGTGCTTTAGAAACTGAACGGAAGAAAGAAACACCCACCGAGAACAATGCATGTATTTCGATGCCAACTTCGTTTTCTGGTTGACGAGGATGAAGCTGCTTGATCTAGTCGAAGAGAGCATAGAAGCCTATGTACTGTGTCCTGCAAAATGATTTCGATGAAAATAAAGCGAAATAGGCATTATTTGATCTCACCTTAGATGGAAGAGGACATTCATCAAGGAACAGAGTGATTACGGCAGGCCCCAAAGAATCATCATCAGGCACCTGAACAGAAGAAGGGATAAATACAATCTGCGTATTCAACAACAGTACCAAAGCAGTTTGAATTGCCACCAAGGTACTCACCGTTTCTATTAACGACTCAACAACAAGTAGCCAGCCTTTTTCTCGTTCAGCGATCATGTTGAGCTTAAGAAGTGATGCAGGTGGATCTTGTTCGCTAAAACAGACGAAGACTGAACATATGGCAAAACTATGTTCACTTCTACAGTTATTTTTTGCAATCATTACTTCCGAATTGCCAAATTCGCAGCATGTTACATCTATGTTTCTCAAAGCAAGATAAAACTCTCGTTTTGCGTATGGGCACCACTTGCCAAACAGATCTTATCGCATAACAGCCCATCGTTTCAGCCCACACACATAAAGCAAAAGTGTGTTTACAAGTCGTGCGCGCGCTAGTACTAGGAGGACGATCAACAACAGAATAAATCAACGCCTAATGGAGAAGCCACTGAACCACAGCTTTACCTTTAGAATTAGAAAAAAAAACCCTGAGAGCATGCATAAAAATTTCGAAAAAATCAAGAGAGCAACTTACTTATTAACAAGTGACCTTATAACTTTCAACGTTTGTCTGATCAAATCCTTAACATCGTTTCCAACATAGTTTGTCATAGACATGCGACGCTGTAGTGATCCCTCTGCAAGGAAGCATGCATTGTTGGGTTAAGTCAAAAACAGAAAATGTATGAAAAACTTTGCACATCTTGTGAATACCTACATGAATCACATACTCGTAAAAAGAATCTGCAAAGGAAGTCGTTCCAGTCGCAGAACAAAGAGACGTTTCTCGTCGTAAAACATTTCAGCAAGACAGATTACAGTTCGATAAAAATGTTACAGGCAAGTTTACTGCAAGTAATTATATGCTTATCTCCTCTTTATTGAAGAATCTAGATTGCAGGAAAAAGCATGAATTACGATTGAACTTTGTTGTGCACCACCATCAACCAGGGTAGTGCAAAAACAGGATATAGGCTTCCTCAATCCATTAATGGGAAGCCTAGACTACACCTGAGTTGCTATTAAAAGCGATAGTCTTAGCATCAAAGAAATTTTCAAATGCTAGACACGAGCTTGAAAGCACCGTTCACCCAAACTGAGATTGGTGAAATTTTGACGTTGTATAATATAACAGCGGGGCCATAAGTAGGTGATCGCCCAACTCCTTCTGCAAATGATGAATTCCAAAGGGAGAAAATTGCTCCAGAAGATAGAAGCAGCTCAGGTGGCTCCGCCCATTGAAGTGGGTAATTCGAAAATAATTAGCTGGTAAACGGACTTCAGGGCAGATAAAAATGTCGAAAATCAGATAATTGTATTGAAGGGCGGATTTATGACAACTCTAGATAATGAATAATAATAATGTTTAATAATCATTAAACCCGATTTGGACTTTTCGTCTTCATACCACCCACGTTGATAGGCGTAACAACCTAGACCGCTTCTACCTTCTGGAGCGTTTTTCTTGCTTCGGAATTCATCTTTCGCAACGACTCGTCGATATCCCATTTAGGTGCCCGCATTATTCAACGTCAAAATTTCACTAACCTCAATTTGGGCGAAAGGTGCCTCTAAAAAGTCTAATATCGCTGAAAGAATTTCGCAGTTTACCACCTCAAATCCTTTACTCGGCCGACACTTTACTTGCTCAACGAAGAATTCTAAATTGTCGGTGTCATCTATAGAGAGTGAACCTGGTCAGAACCAGTTTGCGAAGCACATCAATCCGTCTCGTGGTGATCGAGTGAAGCATCGGCAATTGCAGATAGCCGAACGCAAGAAGGTCAATGGCGTTTCTCAAAGGAATGACTCATCTAGGAGCAGATCAGGAACAACGGTAAGCATAGAGGTACAAGAAAGAAAAAAACAGTCGCTTATAGTAAGAGATGACTAAGTGGGAGGCATTTTTCTCAAAGCGCTTATATGAACTAACGTTCGGCTGATAAAAAAAAAAACAAAGCAAACAATCAAACTGAACCCGACCGACTATTCTGAGCTTAATAATTTGCCTCCATCAAGTTCGATTCCCACCCCCCCCCCCCCCTCTCCTCCCTTACCCAAAGTCAAAGCCATGAGCACGCAAACCCAGCTTATACTGAATATTTACTCTAGGAACATTAGCACTTTTTAATGTTTGTTGCAAGTAAATACATAGAACTGCACAAGAGTGTTCAGAATTCAGCAACTTGATGTCGAGAACGTTTACATTACTAGGACAGACTGTGCCTGTTACTAGAGTGGAAATTTTAGAAAAACACGTTGGAGACACCGAGTGCGCAAGCACTATCCGCACGCAAGCTTGTAAAATATGCCCGACAGTCTGGACAGAGTATTGAGCAGAAAATTTGTGAATAGGATGTTACTCCAGACTCGATCAATAGTAGTGCCACCGTGGAAAATGTAACACTGCACAATGAAAAATTGAAATGAAAGATTCAAGAGCTTTACACTTGAAAAAAAAAAAGATTTATAGGAGCACTGTTGCCAATGATGATGCCGCTTTTGTGGAAGTGGTAGAAGAATAGATAAGTGCTTGGGTACACAACAAGATGGGGATTCGCAAAATATTATTAGCGTGGATGCAATCTGGTTGGACAAGACGTTCAAAAATTTGACGTACGGTATATGCCCAACTTCCATCGGCTGCGAGATAACGTGCTCCACACAAACAGAGCCCTAATCTTCTTCAGAGATCTTATTTTCGACTTATTTTCTTCAGACATACTACTAAGAAGGACATACGAAAAATTTTCCCAGGTTTTGTTATCTCTTTCCCTTTAGGAACTTCAAAATCGTATTTTTAAGTGGAATTATCATGGCAGTGGGGTTATTTTTCATTTCAGGAATGACAGATAATTTGCAAAGTAGATAGATAGATACTTTCTTGCATAACTACGGTAGCTGTGCTGCAGCGGAGAAAAAGTCGCTTTGCCGAGGATTCCGCATGTTGATTCCAAAACTTAAAAATAGAATTTCATTAACTTTTCTCAAAATTTTTGTCGTTCCCACTGACTTCTGTACGGCATAGGTGGATTGCGCCACTGAAACTTGCTGTTTTCTTTCTGAGGAAAAGTGTTTTTGCCTCAAGTATATGATTTGTCCTGATTTAGAATATGAATTTGATTCAGCTGGCACACGCTTTGAGTTTGAACATGTACTTCTTTTTCTTTTACTGTTCTCCTCAAAAATTTTCCTTCCTCTATCGTATAGATGTCCTCGCCAATTTTAGAATAGTGGAAGCATTTTCTATAGTTTGGTCTCTGAGAACATGATTCATAAGGTATCTATCTGAATTATTCAAGTAAAACATAATGTCAATTTCCCTGCTGCATACAAGCATATAGGTAATCTAAACTTCTATGTGCACCTAGCACAAGTGTACAGAAATAAAATAGTCCTGATAATCCAATATCATTATGATGATAGATCGGAATCGCCGAGGAAATTGATCTCACCGTACGACTGCAGCGAAAAGCTATTCTAAGGTTGTGGGGGAGAGCGAATTTGTAGTAAAGTTTCAGATATTCTCCATAATAGTAAGTCTGAAGAAAATACTTTGTACGGACTAATATCCACAAAATAGTCGAAAACATAGTTTTTATACTAGATTAGGGCTATATTTGTTTGGAGCACGTTATCTCGCAGCTGATGGAAGTTGGGCATATACCGTACGTCCAAAAATTTCTTCGATAGAAGTCAGATGTGCGAAAACGCCAGTAGGCATAGGAATTCCAGGAGAGGTTGGATAAGCTCAGCTTATATCGAGGTTTGGTACTATGTGGCTGATACCATGGTATTCGCAAATTAGCACTTGCCTTCTTAACAAAAAAAAAAACAGATTATCAATGGAAAATTAAAAAAGTCTCAGAGAGGGAGACGAGTATCCTGAGTCTTGATAGATTACCAACGAGGAAAAAAGTAAACTCAGGAAATTAACGCACCATTCTCATCAATTTCTTGCTCAAATGACTGCGGAGATCTGTTTCGCTCTTCACCACGACGACATGAACGAGAACCGCGACTGCTGAAAAGTTTCAGTACTATGTTGTCATAAATATGTTTAAAGAAACTAATCAAGATGTTTCTAAAACACACATACTTGTTGTTATCACGATTTCGATGTGATTTCTCTTTGCACAGGCAAGAACCCATCCTGAAAAGAAAATCAATGAGCAAAAATAAACACAAACTGTTGTGGGGAAGCAGCATGATATACTAAGAAAAACTGTAGCGATAAGAAAAGAATGACAGGTTCTTAGTTCAACGAGATAAAATCTTGCTAATTGAACTTGTAATGATCGTTTTGGAGCTGAATGGAAGTTATAGACAAAAAAGATATGCTAGATTCATTTCTGGTCGAGCGCAAGTACTGAGCTACAATGAATACTGAGAATGAATGATTCAACAAACAGCACCGAGAGTTTGTTTCTCCTTCACTGAAACTGGAATTGTCGTTGAGTCGGAATGTAGCGATGGGGCGCGCTATTCGCGCAAAAATGCCGCACCGAGGACGCACAGCGCGCGCACATTCATTCTGAGACTAGGAGATCGAAGGCATATGCACACGTGTACCTAACAAGTTGAGGCTTGTGCGTCACCTTATCCTAATAAACTTAACACTTCAGACAAGTTTGAACGTGTAAGGCAATGTCTAGAATGCGTTCTCGCGTTTCCTAATTTCGGAATGGAGATTGAACGTTCCCCTCCCCCCTCCTGATTTTAAAACGGCTGCGAACAAGTTTCGCAAGCATGGTCTTCCACAAACAAGAACTAAAATTAGAAGAAACGCGGACGATCTTGTGACTTCTATAAATAAGACATAACAACATTCGAAGGTTGCTGGGACTTGTCAAGAGACATTAATAGATAACAGAGTGTTGAAATAAAAAAGTCTCTGCATAGCAGCTTAAAAAGGGCTGTTCCCAGATTATTTTCTTATCTATGACATTTACTGCGGAATTACAGACATCTGGCAGGAGTCACATTTTCGGTTTTCGAATTTTTTCGGTTTTTTGGTTCCCTCCTAATGTCTTATTTAACGATTCTTTAAAGTAGATATCTCTGTGATATTTTTATGCAGGTACAGTTCTTATGTGAGAGAGTGTGGAGTAGGGCTTTCAGGAATATTAGAGGACGTAATTTTTAACTCAACCAACCGCTCCCGCCCGCAACGCAGTCTGCGTCTCTAGCGCGCGCCTGCTCTATTATCTTTACCTAGCCTTAATTAGGTCACGAAGTCCCGCCTTCCAGCCGCCAAACCAGTGAATCAAAGGTTTGATATGTTTTTTTCTTCAGTGCGGAATAAAAAATTGGAAGAAAATGAAAGTTGCCATTTTCGTGCAATCTGGAGATGAAATGAGAAAAGATTTTATAATCAACCCCAGTAGACGAGCGCAACCGGTTATGGTTTTTTGAAGTGATTAGCAGTAATTCAAACTCAAATATTTATAATGACGCAGGAATACAGCTTCAAGATAATGTAAAAAAAAGTACCCGTTTCAAAAAAAAAGGTTAGTGGGCCTGATATAAATGCGCAGCTACCCAGTACTCTCACTATTTTGAGACATGAAGCAGTCCTATCTGCGTAAACATCAGTTGAAGGTCATCTGACACATCTATTGTGCTTGAAACCAGGTTTGTGATGGTTGCGATAGAAAGTAAAAGTGTGATATAAATAGCAGTAAAATCTGTCTTTGGAAACTGGAACGATTCTCAAACTCACAGAAGTGAAACTATTTAGAAGTCAAATTGGCTAAAAACTAGCGAAAAACCCAAGGTCTCCGATCATTAAAAGATATACTGTTTGAACAGAAGATGTGAATAAAAAATATATGTTTTCAAAAATCTGAAAAGAATTGTAGAACCACAGATAGGCCCCGGGCAGACTTCACGCGATTTGATCGTCGCGACTGAATCGCAACAAGACAACTGTTACAACATCATTCCATGCCAATCAACTTGCATTTCGGTTGTGATACTTTTCCAGCCCGAAATTTTTGAATGTAAAATGAAAATGAATGGAAATCTAGGCGATTAGATCGCGGCGATCAAATCGCGTGAAGTCTGCCCGGGGCCATAAGGTGCAGCAAATGGCTTATTTTGGGGTACTCGTGACCAAAACTCCAATTTTTACGCATTTAGGATTCAGAAGAAAAAGTCGTTCTGATAGTGCGATTTTGAAAAATGTTGAATATATTTTGCCGAGACGTTGTGAAATAGTTTCGAAATTGCATAAAAAAGTAGTAAATTCGTCCAATTTCGACATCTCCGGATGACTTAAGCTTTTGATGAGTCATCCAGAGGTAAAAGTATAGTAGAAAGTCATTAGTTTCTGGTAATGCAAGGTTTAATAAAGTATTACCAACAAAGTAATGAAGTAGACATTGATGGTGACAAATTGCAGCTAATAGATAAGAACATAAAGGTGAATTTACAAAAAATTGGTGTGATGTCCGCCATCAAACCATGTGAAATTCATGACTTCCACTCACTAACTAAAAGCACGCTCACTGATCGATGTTCCTCCGTACATTTACAAATTTTCAACTTTTCTTTATTGATTACATACCGCTCGTAATTTGTAAAAAAAAACACCGCGATCCGCCGGAATTCGCCGAACTTACCGTTGCATCGCCATATCTTGTTTTAGAGTGCACGAATTTTCAATCCAAAAGCACCATTCAACTCAGCTTGACGAGATGCATCTTTTGATGTGTAAAAGTGTGGGCACAATAGTCGGCCAAATTTCAAGAATCTTTCCAAATTTTCGCTTACGGTAGGTTGAGTGTAGGCAGTGTCTACACTCTGATTGTGAGCTTACGGTCAGCAAGAATCTGGAGGGATCCGTAAAATTTGAACGACTAACATGCTCAAACAGATAGCTCTGTATATCAAAAGACGCATCTCGTCGAGTTGAGTTGAATGATGCTTTTAGGTTCAGAGTCCGTTCACTCTAAAGCAAGATATGGCGGTGCGACGCAAAGTTCGGCGAACTCCGGCGGAGTGCGGTGATTTTTTTCATAAATTACGAGCGGTATTGTACCTGATTGAAAAAATCCTATACTACATGTGTAGTGAAATACAACATAAAAGATAGATAGTGAATCACAAACGAATGTTTCAGAATTTTTGCTATGAAAGTGAATTTTCTGCAAATTTTTGAAACAAAGAAAATTTATAACATGTACCCAGCAATGTGCACCACACACTAAAATCGTAGATAACATATTTCTAATAAATTCCTAGAATTTCTGGTGCTATGGAGACAATAGTATCGCAAACACCATAGAGACAACCTAATACTATGGGAGCAGCTTGCAATGCAATTTCGCTAACACTTCACAACGCACGCGATGATTCAATGGCCTCGAAACGGGAACGTCCGAACAAAGGACAGAAATAACAACGAAAGAAACGCACGATTGTGCAAAGCAGAACCAAAAATAATCAAATCTGCAGAGATTGTCTGTCTAGTGCTTGGATTAATGTCTAGAAATAGATTTTAGAAGTTGATCTGGCAGAAGATTGAAAGCGAAAGAGCTAGATTAAGACTTTCAGCTTCTATAGAATGAGGTATGCACAAAAAACTGTTAAGCACCCATTTTTGAATTCTGAATCAACAAAGGGTTCTCATGGCTACCACAATGGAATTTATTTTGATGGGTAGCAGGCATGTAAATCATCGCTTACTGAACAAAGGCCATTGTTGTTCAAAAGAATGCAATGCAGAATAATGTTACACACTATAATTTTTCAACATTTGGTTTTGCGCTAGTATTTCTTGAAAGTTTTAGAGTGGTAAAGAAATTTTGGTAGTTTTTACGAGTTTGTAAAAATGTTACAGATAAAATTATGCATAGAAGTATGTACTGCTGGAAAAAGTCAATCAAAAAGAATCGATGGTTATTTCAGAAAAGAATATTTCCTTTATAACGAGGTGATGGAGGAATAAGAGCAGCCACATTTTTTCATATGAATTTCTGAAAGTCTTGTTTTGAAAAAAGAGTTGATGTTAGGTGTAAAATATACATTTGGGACCCACACATTAGATTTTCATACTTTCAATCATACGTGATTACAGGTGGTCAAATTTGAGCGTCAAGACAAATGACATTTAGGCCTCGGTTATACCTCGCGCGACTTCGAAATGGCTATCATTGGTGAATTCAAAAATATTGTTAACGCATGCGCGCAGATTTCGTATGCACAAGCGCACAATCGTGTCAAGTCCCACTTACCAAAAGCGCGCTTAACAATTACGAGCCAGCGTGGCAATGTAGAATCCGCGGCGACCGAAATCGCGCGAAGTATGAACGATGGCCTACGATGCCTAGGTTACACTTTCAGTAAAGAAAGAGAGTTTTGGACATAAACAGCAAAAACAATACTCAGCGTGATTCGCAATGTATCCTAAATGTGTGGTGGCTCACCATTCGCGCATCAAATAAATAAATAAATAAATAAATAAATAAATAAATAAATAAATAAATAAATAAATAAATAAAGTTTCTGTATCCAATCACCAAACTTGAATAAGAGAATGATTTTTAGGAGGTTAGCTATATAAAGACCAAATTGCTTCTGAAAATTTTCAATAACTATACACTTAATAGTTGATTTCATTAAATCACCCACACCTTCTCCAACATGAAAAGTAGCTTGCTTGCTCAAGAAAACCTGCTTTTCTCTTTGGTTGTTGCTTCTTCGTGCTGATGATGCTATTCATTCCATATAAGGCAAACAAAGAAATTAGTGCGACACATGTACTTTATGATCAGCTTATTCCGGACCTAATCATGATTTACAGAAATACTGTCATAACTTTTCTGGTCTAAAGATAATGCTAGATTGTCTAGATTAGCTACGGGACGGCTGCCCTTCAGGTAGGACATAAGAACGAACGGACTTCTAAAGCGCACCGTTAAAGAAGTGGAGACAAAGTGCCTGAGAGCCAAGAATTTCTCACACTTGAAACATCGGCGAAAGTTCCTGTAGTTCTGGAAATCATTTGAGCAGGAAGTAATTCTTTGCGACATCGAAAAGTGCACTCAATAAAACTGCATCCTTTCGTGGGAAAAGCCGAAGCGGAACTATATCTCAAGCCAAAAGTCAATTATGAAACTATCATTCGTGCTTGACGCTCAAAAACTTAAACAAAGGACAATAACTAAAAGGTTACACATGAAACTTTAGCTAGCCACAACATTGCCAAAGTAACAGCTGCCTCAGATCATAGAACTCGTTAGACGAAGGAAGACAAAACTTGAAAATTTCGGTCAATTGTTGAAATCAGGCAAGAGACGAATTTTCAAATTTACCAAATCAGTTCGCACATATCTCATTGATGAGCCTTGCACCAAACATGTGAAAAGAATTTTATCTGAGAATGTGTAAAGAAACGATTGAAATTACATTTAATATTTTCCTCAGCATATAACAAATGTTCTATACCATTATATAAGTAAGAATAAGTAATAATAGTAAGAGTAATAATAGTATTCGTACATACACCCGGTCAACACAAATTCTTTCCAGTAAGAAAGAGTAAGTCATAAATGGACAAAAATTAAATTCAGACCTTATTGACTTTTCAGCCAGGGCTCGGCACGAGGTGGCTTTTGGAAAATGCAAAGAACAAAGTTTCCCTTGACCTTCGCGGATTTTTACGAAGTCCTTTTTGACCCTAAACCCTAAATTTAAAGAAAACTCTCAAAGAACGAAACGTCGACTACAAAATAGCAATTTTTGTGTCTTTTCGGCCTCAAAAACGATACTCCCTTTGCTTTTTGCCCCAAAAACGATATCCAGCTTGCTTTACAAACACCTGTGCCGAGCTCTGTTGAAATAATTTAAAAAAACAAATTTGGATTTCGTTGGCTTTTCAGCGTTTCCAGAAAATAAGTTTGTGAACGCGATTTTATGTCTCTGTTTATTATCTCATCGGAGTCATATGCTAGATTTTTTGGCCAAGATTTTCTCAGGAACTGATTTTCGTTTTTTGAGCTATACTTTGAATCAAACATTCATTGATATCCGAAAGAGTAAGGTTTTTCTGGATTTTTGGGGCAAAACTTATGATTTGGCCTAATGATTGTGTGTCTACAATTCACTAAACACAATAGGAGAAAAGAATGCTATTTTGATACTACAGAAAAAAAAACTAAAGGAACTTACTCGAGGTTGAAAGAATTGAGTATAGCGGCGAGCATACAAGTACAGGGTTGATTTCTCGGCATTGTAGGTATGAAAATAGAGTCAGACGACTTCGAGGAGTGCCGTAGAGGACGACGGAAGTACGTTTGCACCACAAATGCGTTGAACCAAAGGGATCACAAACCCGCTCCCCCACTCCGGTCAAAACAACCGCGTAAACTGCTGATTGTTCATGACATTCCACGTGACCAGCCCTTGCTTATCATCGTTCTTTAGTCTTCTTACAAGCATCTGTTAGCGGATAGATAGCCTTTCAAGCAGATCAAAACTATTTCTAGCTGTGAAAAGCCGTCCCTACGCATGATTTCCCAGACTAGTTCTAATATAATATTAGGCTGTCCGAAAAGTTCCGCCGCACCATCATTCAAAAATCATAGCTTTTTTCTGCGCTATTGAATTTGCTTGGCACTAACTTCGTTGAACATCAAAGATCATATGAAAATAGACAGATCTGAAATGGCATTTAGAGGGACCTATCAAAAGAAAGAGATAGAAACGAAGGAAGAGCTTGAAAATAATAGAAGATAATAAAACAACCAGTTGGGTAGGATTCATGATACTCTTTTCAAAGAGCATTTGTTCTCAAATGTCTGTTGTTATGGTGTATGAATTCGCAATAGGTAAAGGAGAAATTGATTTTTGACATTCTTCTCAGAAACCATATTGCATCCCAGATTGTGTTGAAGCAAATGCACAAATTATTCTCATTTCGGTTTTATAATAAATTCTTTTGTAATCGGAAGATTACAATAAAGAGAGTCAGTAATTTGAGATTATCAATCTTCTCAATTTATTTCAGCACTTGCGTCGAACAACTTCTACAAGACGAGTCGTAGCTTTTAAGAAAAATGGTAAAAATTCAACTTTATTTTTTATTGCTGTTCGAAAACCATAGATTCAAAGGTTTCAGCGCAAACTTTGTTCAGCTAGAAAATGGAGTTTTGAAACCTATATTACCGGCTTTTCACTACTGACTATTTACCGATTTTGAAACGTTTCATTCTACAGCGGATTCTGAAAATTGAAATTGTAGTGATCTTTTTTCTTTTCGCTTCTATCTATATATAAAAATCTTGTGCCTGTTTAAAAAGGTGAAATTGCGGGAAACCGCGCGACTCCCGCAGCGAAAGCGCCTGCAAGTCTAGCACCTTTACGATTACTAGTTCAGTAGTCTATGATAATCCATGATAACTTCCGTTATAGAAAATGCTTTAGGCGCTTACAAAGGCTAGTTTTTTCCCGTCTGATAGAAGCTAAGCAGAAGAATTAAGATAAGGGAGCTTATGATTGAAAAAAAAAGGTGTGACAAATTTTTGGAACAGTCCATTATATTGTGAGAAGTAGGAACGCACAAGATTAACAATTTTCATACTTTAACGACTATTTCTAACTTTCGTTTAATAACACATAGAGTATAATCCGATCAATAGTTGTAAAGCGAATGCTGCCATCAGTAACTAAGAACAATATAAAGAAAATAAAAAAAAGAAATTAGTAAGAAAGACCTCACTCGATTCAAGTGGTCGATTGTTATGATATGTCGCAATTTCGAAAGTGCTCGCTCCGTGGGTGGATAAACGTTCTACTGACTAAGTTACTTTACAATGTTTGAAAAGTGGACACGCGGAAAGTGCGACTTCCGCTGTTATATTAGATTTGGAGAGAAACGAAAGAAATAGGAACTCGAAGATCAAATATCAAGAGATGTAAAAAGTTTGCTTTGACGAAGATTGTCGATGTTGAGAGAGTCAAGGTTTTACTTTTTTTAGAATAATAAATGAATATGCGAATAATAGATGTACGAAATAAAAAATCAAAGAAGCTAATGAGGATATAAAAACTATCAAAAACAGAAGAAAGCAAGCAGTTGTGTAGCAAATAGGTATCTTCTCTAGCTCCAAATTGTTTTTGCTTGTTCTTACTGGTTTTCTCAGCTTGCATGAAAGAACAGTAAAGTCACAGTAACGCAGTACGCAGTACGCAGTAGCATTTTGCTCTGATCAGATAAGGATCCCAGGTGAAAGTGGCACTTTGGAAGAAAATGCATATCATTAAATGCCTTTTGTTGAGCTGATTCCAAATCTTGCTTCCTTATCTGCTGAGCGGTCTTTTAGACGAAATTACGAGCGTTTGAATATCCAAACACAGCAGACGGTTACATCCACACCTTCAACTGTCCTTTAGCCGTTCATAACTTTTTCAAAAGAACTCTCCAGCAGATATGGATGATAGATTCGGAATCAGCTCATCTAGACAGATCTAAAGATATGTATTTCATCCCAGTTCGCCACTGCAACTTAAGATCCTCCCCTTGTGAGTACTAAGCTTTATCCGGTTTCTGTATAGTTATTCAAAAGCTAGCCTGCTTCGCTCCTCGTCTTGAAGGACTAGATAAATCCATTACCATGCAGCTTCTTGTCTGTTCAGCAGTTGGGAGTACGTAAATAAGTGAGTCACTCAACAATTAGAAGAGATAATTACCCTCAGTACATAAATTATTAGGAGCTAGTGGGTTTTGTTGGGAATCTTGAGGAGGGAGCAAAACTGTGCAGCATATCCAAACTGATAAAAGAATATCTATCCAATTTTAAGAGTACAAAGCCCAGTTTTGTAAGATTTTTTGTTGTTTCGTCATTTTCCAAAATCCAGGATTTTCGAGCTCTGATTTGAAAGCACTTCAAGATTTCTTCGAAAATTCTTGCATCGCCACTCGGAATTTTTTTATTGAATTAAAAACTAAGTTTTGCACAAAAATTTTCAAAAAATTCATTTAAAAATGCACAGAGCAGCGCTTCAATCTGCATAGAATTTTTTTAACTGTAATTATAATAATTAATAATGTAATAGAATTTAATGTAATGTAATAATTGATATTGTAATTGTAATATGCAAAACTCAAAATTGAAACTGGAAAATAACAATTTCTTGCAGGGAAATTCTGTCAGCACACACCTAGCTCGGTTAAAAAGCGTAGATCATAAAACTCAAATAAAAACTAAATTTAGAAATTACTGGGATTTTCAGCATTTCTGGAAATAAAAACTTGGAAAAACGCAATTTGAGTGTTTGCATCCAACAGGTTGTATTGCCACGACATGACAATGATGATTCTTGCGTCAAGGATATTTTGAAAAAGTGAAGTCTTCTCTCCCTGCGTATGATTCAAAGAAATTCGAAAATTTGGGTGCAAGACTTATTTTCAATAGATCGAAAATTGGAAAAGCTAAAAAAAACCTCAAACCGAACGCCGCACAAACACAAATCCATGCATCCATATAACCAGTCTATATAATCCAAATCACCTGCGGATTATTTATAACACCAGTTTTGTAGGCACCGATGCGCTCAGCAGGTGTCGACAGATCTGTGGAAAAGGTACCAAGCAAATAGAATGGAGATTATAGCCTGTATGTTGACGAGCCAGCCATTATTTACTGGATCGGGAAAAAAGAAAAGCTTTTCCAAGCATCTGCATTACCGAAAATGGACACATGGACAGGTTGGTGCTTTTCCAAAAGCAGGATGCAATTGTAGAAAAGATGCCATCTAGGGCAGTGGGACACACGTTAGTGGATATTTTTATTCGATGAGCGCTCCAATCCGCTCAATGCAGTCAGGCAATTAGGGGAAAAGGGAGTTGTAGGCGAGGATTAAAGAAGAATACTCCTCTGACGAGCTCCTTAGCGAACGAGAAAAGGAGAAACTAACAACTATGCGAAGAAATTACACTGACTTGTGACAAGGAAAGGGCGTAGAGATAAGAAGATGCCATTTTCTTTTTATTAATGGAATTTGTCCAATAAAACGTGAATGATGTGTGAAGAAGCACGAGTAAAGCAGTTGGTCCTTGGCAGTGGAGAGTTTCCTGCTGTTGAGGAATAGTGCAAGTTTTACTAGACAAAGGCTCATTACAACTGCATGGATGACTTCAAAGAGCAAAAACAAGCGGAAAACAAGGCTTTCATTTGTGACTTCTGCTTTTTGTAGTCCAAACGCTGTCTGCGCTTTGTGAAAATTAGGGGCACATACATAATTTCAGCGACACAGACAAAAAAAAACACTTCTTTGACTTAGATCTAGAATTAAGATCCTTATCGGTAGAAAAAATCCTCAAAAAAGACATATGCCGATTTCTTGTAAGTATTCAGAAAATAGAGCATCGCTAGGAACTACTTTTTCTCAAATATTTCCCCCAGTGTTAGAATTGTGATGTTTATAAAAATAAGAAGTGCGCTTATCAGAAAACTCAAAAAAATCAGTTCAGTCCAGTCAGAGCGAGTATACCCGAGTATACCCGTCATTTTCTCAGACAACCGACCGAAAGTTCCGCAGAATGTCTGGAAGGGTTCCGCCGGGTCTCCTGCGGAAGTTCCGTAAACGTGCTGCGGAAATTCTGAGGTGCTGCGGAAGTTCCGATGAACGCGAACTACAACATCAAAAGAGAAATTTAAGTGAGATTTGAACCTCTATTGACTGTGAAACTCACCTACTATTCTCTGCACTACGTATGACATGTTCGATAATGCACTCTAGTTGTTGGCGAGGCAATTACGAGACAACGCATTCAAAACCCTGGGAAGTACTGGTATGTCAAAGTCCCGCGGAACCGCTGACATTTTTCGGAAGTACCGCAGCGCTTTGTAAAGGTCCAGCGGAAGTTCCGTTTTCAACCAGTTTGACGTAAAAATTCTGCGAAAATACCCATTTTCAACGCTCCCACTTTTTAGTAAACAAAATCCTGCGAAACCACCGCAAATTTTGCTTGTCCTGCGGAAGTTTCGGTGAATTGTCTGAGCTAATGAAAACTGATTGGTGTAACAAAAAATAAAATATGCAAGAAGACTACTTTCGTAAAGACACAATAGTGATAACATCATTTCTTAAGTTTTCTAGGATCGATACACCCAATGTTACCTTCGTAAAATTAATATGAAGCTATACTGAGGGCAAGAATTATCAGTCCTGCCATTCAATCACAATTGATCTAAAAGAAAAGTAAAAATGTCAATCACTAAACGAATATTGGGTTGGTCCAAGAATCTCACTACTCTCCGGAAACCTGATAGTTCTTTTCGATTATGACAGATCAAACAGATCAATCAACCCCATTTATTGTTGAGAAAATGTTTTTTCTAGAAG